CTTTTCATGGCATGTAACAGGGCAACACAGTTGGGGCCCATTTTCATTTTGTAAACTAGTATCTGTTTTGTAAATATAAATTACATTTAACTAGTATCATGTTTTGTAAATATAAATTACATTTTTTTTTTAAACAACATCAGCATGATATTATATTCAATATATATTATGATTTCAGCATGTCAGGCCATACAATCAACCAGTTTGTAGCGTCTCGGTTTGGTTCATTCGGGTTTACGGGTGGACCGGGAAGGGATGTTACAATCTAGATAAAACACAAATATAAAAGAAAAACTGCATTAGGCATATGACTTTCCTTAAATAAGAATTAAAGAATTAATCTAACATATATTCGCTTAGATATTAAACTGCTATAATTAATCTAATTTTTTTATTGAAATTCTGGCATCATTTCCTTTAAAATAGGAGTTTTCACTTGTCCAATTATTAATAACTTAATATACTTATTAATTGTTACTCACACAGGCCATTCATCGGACAATTAACGATTCAAATATCCAACCATAATAGATAGTAATTTTATAATTAATTTTACCTTATAGATTATAATAACCTTCAATTGAATCTCAATACATCATCATATATTTCTATTTCATCTCAATATAATTTACTTCCTTAACCAGTCATTACATAAAATCTCTTATACATATAAATATAAATAATTCTTCATTTGGTTAACTTTACTCGAAATATAATACATCTTTAATGAAATTATAGACTAGTTACTAAAATTAATACTCTATTAGATCATAATATCTTTTAAATAACCTAATTCACAACCATCTTCGTTCATATAACACAATTTTAATTTCGAAATAACTGATACCTATCCAACAATAAGTTTCTTTTTACTTAGATTACTTTCTGTCGCTAAAACAATTTGTATAACACTAAATATTTAATTTACTTTTCTCATTTGGTTTATAATCCTTAATAGCCATTAATTTAAACTAAATTAAAGAACTAATTTCTCCTTAAAGAACGTATATATATATATATATATATATAGGATAGAATATAAATATTTATCATGGATTTGATCGTAATTTGTAAATAAGACCTAATTATATTTTAGGATGAAATATTATTATTCATATAGACCAGAATAAAATTAAGAGATCTTATTCATATTCATTCACAAATACGTATCCAACAAGGATTTTAACTGTAAGTCTACTCAATGTCTTTCTACCTGTATATAACACTACAAGAAATTCAGCGATTAGCGATGAATTTTACCGATGGAATGTATTTTGTTGGTAATTAGCGATGAATTACCGACGGATTAAAAAAACTTTGCAATTTGAGAGATTTGCACTTAGCTGTTATTTAAGTAAACTTCTTTGCTTTTATGTATTACTAGTCTTTTTATAACATGTGTTGCACGTTGACTATACTCGTTATTCGTACTCATTTAATTTTTTATTTATTATTTGTACTCATTTTGATTTTTTAATATTAAATATTAAAAAAATTAGGTTTTGCTGATATTATTTTTATTTTTATAATGTTAAAATAAAATTTTATACAAGATTAGTGTATATACACACACACATTTCAACTTAATTTATATCATCACTTATCTAAAATTCATTATAATTATAATATGACCTAATAAGTATGTTTCAATATATATAGATACATAGATATAACAATAAAATATTACATACATTTATAAAATTAAAAAATCTTCAATTGTTCGTCATCCTATATACATATATATGTTCATTTTATCTAAAAATAAATTTTAAAAGTAAAAATTTAAAAATTTTGAAAAAATTAATTATGTATATTCTATTTAAAAATTTACTAAAAATAATTTTAAAAGTAAAAATTTAAAAATTTTGAAAAAATTAATTATGTATATTCTATTTAAAAATTTATTATAAAAATAATATATTTTTTCTTTTTATTCTCTCTCCTACATAAATATTTTAAATTATAATAAAAATCAAATATTTAAAAATAAATTTAAATAAGATAAATATAAAATTTTTAAATGGCTTCGTTATCATATATATATATAATATATATAAAAAATATATATATATATATATAAAAGAAAAAAATGTTCATTTTGCTTTTCTTTTAAAAGAAAATATCATGTCTTATATTAAACTAGGTAAAGGCCCGCGCGGCTTTTTGTGATATCATTGCCAGTCGTATTTGTGAAATTAAGTTTTTTTGCTTATTTTTTATTTTTCAAATATATATATGAATTTAAACTTGAACATGTATAATAATAAATATTTACGTTTTTAAATATAATATACTTGTGTAGCAATGATTTTTGTTAGGCTGAATTTAAAAAATAACATAAATTATATTAATTTTTTTCAATTTTAAGCAATTTTTATTACTTAGGCTATTGATTATATGATTTTTTTTGGGATCCTAATCTTTTTGCAACTACAAATAAAATTAAAATTTAACTAAAAGAGATATTATGTCATCAACTTAATCTTTAGTTCAAATAACAATATGCTATTGATTATATGAAAAGTTTCTTACTTCACAAACTATTATTTACATCAATGAACAAAAATATGCATAATCAATAAAATTTTTATACTTAACAAACAATCACAGAATCACTTACAGTAGTAGTAGGAGGAGAAAGTTTACCAACTTTTAAATAAACCATATTGGCTGCAACTTCTTAATTGGCTGCTTTCCCAGCAACAACATCAAACTGACTTTCTATAAATCTACTAATAATCTCTAAACTCTTTATTAAATTCTCCACAACCCCATTATCATACATCCTTGAACCATGACCATGCTATTCTAGATACTGAATAGCTATGCACTTGTTATCTTGTCCTCTACGGGCGAAGATTTTCCCGTCGATGGTACATACGACGGACAAAGTAGAGAAACGCGGGAAAGAAGGGTGAACTCATGATCTAAGATATTAAATAATTAATTGGCTAATATTCACCTATACAGAAAGTATATGCAGGATTAAGTTACACTTTGAGAAAAAAAAAAAAAAGAAGGAAATTTACGGAAACTCTTTACAGTCTACATTATCAAGTTTCCTTGCATTTCAAAAGCAATGCTAAACTTGTTGCCTTCAAAATTCAAATAGACAACCTCTGCATCCGATTCTATATTAAAAAAAGAAAAAAAAAAAAAAAAAACCCATTATCAACCAACAGAAGTAGAAGAAGCAGCAGCATGGAAGTGGTGGTGGAGGTTCAGCCTCGACGCATCTACGATAATACTGCAAAATGTAGAAAAAATCTAAAAAGCTAATTGATAAAGTGAATTCAAGCCACTCTCAAATTTCTATTTTATGAATTTTTGGATATTCTCTTCTTAATTGTACAATTAGTTTCAGAATTTCAAATACTTGTGTGAAATATCTATCCATCTAATACTATTTATGCACACAAACATTATCTCTCATTTTTTTGAAAATCCTAAAATCTAGAGATAATCAAATTAGAAAGCTTAACTTTGAAATTAAAATCTATAAAAAGTAAAAATAAAAAAATATAAAGATAAGAAATAACGATATTTTAGCATTTTAACTAAAGCCCAAAAAACAAATGAAACCTAAACACATTAGATAATATAAGAGATAAATATGAATTTAATTTTTTTATTTGAATTACTGTAAAATTTTTTAGTTACAACGTGCTATAAATTAAAAATTTTTTAAAGTTATCTTTATTAATTAATAATAATAATAATAATTAATAATTAATTAAGTAGTCCAGAAAAAACTCAAAAATTTCTAAAAACAAGAAAAATAGAATGCTTAATATAAAGAGTCCCAAGTAAGCATTTTAAAACTTTTTTTTGCTTCAGGACTATATATATATATATATATATAGATATAACCACATTACATCTTTGAGAAAATAAATTTATTTTGGTATTAAAAATTCTTAAATTATTTTTTCATAGTTTTTCCTTATATATTTGAAATATTTACAGTTTTTCTTAATATATTTGAAATATTTACATTGTTTTAATATAAATTAAATTATTTTTTCATAGTTTTTCCTTATATATTTGAAATATTTACATTGTTTTATATAATAATTTAATTTATACAAATGTTAAAAGAAAAAGTTAGGTACATTCTTCAGTATTACAGTAAAATAAATAATTACATGTATTATAAAAATCAACGTTTAAACAAATACCTATGGATCCCATTAAAGATAAATATGATTTTTAATTGATTTAGTAATTACTTCATTTGAAATTGAGAAATAATCAAACGTAACAGATATTTAATCGAATATAAACTTTTTAAATGAATTAATAAAAAATTATTAAAAAAAACTCAATTTATTAATAATTTAATATCATAATTTATCAATTATTAAAAACTCAAGTTATTGAATAAACTCAAATTATTATCAATTATTCAAAATGATATTTTACAATTTCTAAAATTTTACTGCCATTATTATATGTAATCTCATTATTCTCACTTTTATATATAGTATAGATATATAAATAAACAATCAAATTTATTTCTTTTAAATAAATTTTATATTACATCAGATAAGGAAGTATTCTATGCCATCACATAACCTTCATAATGATCAGTTGTAGATTAAAAAAAAATTGTCATGCAAAAATTTTAGTGTGAAAAAATTATCTTTACATAAAAGAGTATAATGCCATTTGACCAGTTGGGTTAATCACTATCGCAATTTGCATTTTGCAATTGAGTATTCAATATTTATCGACTGTTTTACATATTTATTGAATTAAAAATTCACTATATAAGGTTTGATTTTTAAAATAAAAAAAATAAATGAAACCGTTTTGTGTAAATCGGTAAATTGAGAATTCCTTAAGTATCTAATCTTAAATATGATGTTCAACTTTTGTAGTCTGAAAGAAAATGATAAAAGCAAAGAGTACTTTGCCAAGAAAATAGTTAATTACACCACTAGAAAATTATCAGCATTCACATATAAAACCTCCTTCTATATATAACAGCCTTGAGCCTATTATGAAGTCTTTAACTTAATTTGATAATTTCAGCATTTTTATTATCATTCTTTCTTACATACTGTATGCTTGATTTGTCCAATCTTCAAATTCCACCATTGTAACTATTGAAGATGATTGATGCACAAGACAGGGGTATAAGGCATAACCCTCTGCTTAAAAGATCTCTCTTTGGTTCTCCATTCTCATCTTCCTCTCTTGAACTCTGTTGATCACAAGAAGTTGATGATGGCTCAGAAATATATATAATGAAAGAAATTCCATAATATTATTTTCTTTTTTCCATTTTTAAATAAGAGGAAAAGGAGGACTCCAGGTTATTTTTATACCCAGATTGCAAGGCTTACATTGCAATATTTATCACTTTTTATTAAAAATTATGCTTATCTTAGTGAGTTTGCTTCTTACTTTATTTATCAAAATTTGTTCTTTTGGTCAAACTATAAATGAAATATTTTCTTCTTAATGACAAATCTTTTATTCCTAGCAAATATTGCTTTTCTTTTCACCAGATTGAAAATAGACTTAATAAAATATGAAAGTATTCATTCATATATCTTTTTACCGTTATAACGAACAATAACAGGTTAGCCTTTGTCTCGGGCTAGTTTAAGTCAGCGATATGAATCATTTGTTTCTGATATTCTTCTCATTAATATTTCTTACAATTTAATAGGAAAAGATGTTATGGGTTTAATGTTGTTTCTCTTAGTTTAATCAAAATAAACTAATTATGAGCAAAACATCAAACACCTTTTGTAATAATCCAATAGAATAGTGATTAAAAACATGGGTGAAAGAACATCTTACTGCTTTTATTGTTCTAATTCGCTTGCTGTTTGCAGACCTCATATAAGGTACACTCAGTGTCTGTTTGGAACAAATAAGGACCAACATATATTAAAAGGGAAGGAACAGTCATATAAACCCTAAATCTACTCTAATTTTCAATTTTCCAATTGAACAATTTGAAATTATAGCCAGAAATTTGGTGTGTTTTAAAAAATTCATGTCCTAAATAAAAAAATGTAAATTGACTTTGAAAAGGAATAAATAAATCACCTCCACTTGATCATGGAGAAATTGGATGTAACCAATAGCTTCTGTCAATACAGATGCAGTATCTGTCTGTAAAGGATGCAAAAAAGCTAAAAACATAACCATATGGGCATATTTATATTATAATAGCACAATTCCATGTCTTTATTATATAATATTTAATAGATATATAAATATATTATAGAGAGTACCTTGCCATAAGGTGCCACCAACCTTTGAAGAGTAGCAATCTTTTCTCTTATTTTATTCTTACCAACCTAGTAAAAAAAAAAAAAAAAAAACTTATTTTATTCTTACCAAAAAAAAAAAAAAAAAAAAAAACAATTCCAGAATAGTTCAAAAATTGAAATTCCAAATTCAGGAAAATGAAGCAATTAAAATAGGATGGTGAATTGCATAAAAATTGTTAAGGTTAGGATAGAATATATTTTTTATATTAAAAATTGATGAGAAAACCCTCTTTTTCAATTGAATTAAATTTTTTTTTAAATTTTATTTCCATAAATATTTCTATCCTTTCTAATCAATTATTGGTAACATATAATATTCCTTTGGTTTGGCACTTTAGCTAGGTCTTTCTCTCCCTCTCCATCACTTTTCTTGTTTTAGTTTTTTTCTTCTTGAACAGAAAGGAGAAGGAAAAAAAAAAAACTGTAGAATTGAAAAGGAAAAGTAAAAAGCACAAGGATTTTGAATGAAAAAAAAATATATATAATTGAATAAAAATAGATTTGAGATAAAAACTTGTTATGCCCATACATACGGTTAGTGACAAAGCTAGGATTTACGAACAAAAGAGCAAACTTATTTATAAATTAGTTGAAGGAAAAATAAACAAATATTAAAGAAAACAAGATGATTAATGCTCTTTTTGTTTCTGTAAAATAGCTTGTAGGAAAATATTTTTTTATAATTTTCTGTTGTTTAAGGTGTTCAGAAAAACAAGTCAACTTAAGTCATTTTTAAATGACTTCCCATTTCTCAAGAGCGTAAAACATTTCCGGAGTTTGACAAACTTATTATAACTTTATAAATTCATATTTTATTAATTTATTAATAATCGGTAGCTACTACCACCACTAACCGTTCACCACCACTAGCCACTGTCGGCCACCATCACGGGTCACCGACGACTTTCATAATTTAATATTTTTTTTTTGCATTATTCTCATATTTAATAATAAAATTTTTAAAATATAAAATTTATATTATTATATTAGATTTTTATTTTAGGTCATAAGTAAAAATTTTAATAATTTAACTAATTTTATAAATTGCCACCAAAAAAAGAAAATAAATATTTTCCAAAAGTAATATTATTTGTCTGAAATACAAATGAAATGACCTAAGGCCTCCATTTGTTCCGTAAAATAACTCAGTAAAATATTTTTCACAGAAGTTCCGTCGTTTGGCTGGCTGCTTAGGAAAATAAGTCAATAAAAATTAATTTATTAATCATCATAATTACTACCAACCACCACCACTAGCTTCCACCACCGGCCACCACCACGAGCTACCGGTGGCTTTCATAATTTATATTTTTTTCATTTTTTTCGTATTTAACAATAAAATTTTTTAAGTATAAAATTGTTATTATTATTAATATTTTTTATGGTCTTATGAAATAAAGACTTTAATATTTTAAACTAATTTTCAATGTTACAATCAAACAACGGAAAACAAGTTATTTGGAAAATATATTTTAAGAAAAATATTTTCCATAAAAATATTTTTCAGCGAGTTTTTTTCTTGCAAGTTATTTTACGGAAACAAGGAAACAAACGTATCATAAGTAACATCAAAATTACAATTAACCTGCATATTAAAAATATATTTTACTATGATTTTTTAACAACTTTTGCGCAATATTGATACCCTTAATATATTATTATTTAAAGAAAAAATACCTTCAATAATGGGGGACATGAAGATTTCGACGGAGGCTGATTCTTTGAAGCTTCAATAAAACTGCAGGGTCTCTTTTTTCTCTGAGTTGTATCTACAAAAACTGACTTCTTGAAATTTGAAAGTAAATATTCAATTTAGGAATCTGTGAAATTAATAATATAAGCATATATAGTAATATAAGTATTATATATAAGATCTGTGTTCTTAAGAAAATGAAGAAGCAACTTCTCAAAAGAAGAAGAAGAAGAAGAAGAATTAGTAGTTAAGAGTACTAAGATACCCACTTTGTTGGAGCTACTTGAAGGATTATCTTTAACTTCTCCCATGGAATGACCAAAACTAGAACTTGAACCATCAGGTTTAGTGTTCAAAAGATCCAGAACTTGCAAGTTCAAATCCAAATCTGAGTTTGAAACATTAATTTTTGGTATAATAGGACTAAAACTATTATATCTACCATTAGAACCAAAAGATGAGCTTTCTCTTGTAGAGTTTTGGATATTATCATTAGAGTATAGCTCTGCAGTAGCCAAAAGTTGTAGTTCAGTGATATGAGGAGCAGAAGAGAAATTGCTCATAAGCCAATTATCATTTTGACAAAGATGATGACGTGGATGTTTTGTGGGAACCATTTCATTTAGCTTGGGGAAGGAATTTATTGGCATCTCTTCTTTTATCTTTGAAAGTAAAAACTCATTTGTAGCTGATTGCTGGGTCAAAGTGTCTGTAGTTTCATATAAACTCATCAAGCCCTCACACATGGAAGCTTTACTATTAGGTTGCCAACACTCCCTTCATGAAAATTGGAAATAATTAATGCAATATATTAATTATAATATTAGCTAATGTTATGTTTATTAATTAAAAGAAAAAACCCTAGAAAATTGATTAACATGATGAAACCAATTCTCATAATAACAAATATAGAAGTTCAAATTAAAAGAAAGAACCCTAGGAAATTGATTGACATGATAAAACTAAAAAATAAAAAATAAAAATAGAAAAAAAAGGGTATTTTATGTTTTGAAAATATATACCCAATTAATTTCCTCTCAGGAGAAATGTTTTCTTCATGAAGAAGTACTATACTTAAATCCTTATTCTTTAAAAAAAATATTTAAATCCTTTTTTGATATAGAAAATTAAGCTTGAATGGATAATTAATCCATTAATAGAGGGGAAAAAGTACTTACAAAATGATGTTGTTGGTGCTTGAAACCTTATTATAATCTGGTTGAAATAATAAAGAAGAATAGAATCCTCCATACTGTTCTTGGAGCTGGTGTTGGGGATGGAGATTTGCAGGCTCCATAATGTTCTTTTTCTTTTTCTTTTTTGTTCTTCAAAGCTTTGACAATCCCAACATCAAAATAGGTATTTCTATAAATTTTCTTTGATGATACTCAGAAAAATTAAGGAATTAAGTAGCTTAGGTAGCATTTCAATGGATGGAAATGTCTGTCCCCCACTTTCTTTTCAACATCAAGCTTTATGCAGCTTCCATTTGCTTGCTCTAAAATATTACTATACCTGTTGCTTTATTTATATTAAATAATATATACCCCAATTATTTTACTCAATGAGCCCTAAAGACCTTATAAATCTTTCACTTTATAAGGAAAACTTAGGGTTTTTTAAATGAATGGTAAATGCATTATTGGATCACTTAATGGATTTAACCAAGAAGAGAAAGAATTGATAAGGGGAAGCTGAAAGATAATTGATAGATTAGAAAGATCAATCATTGCTTCTAATCAACCAAGAAGAAGAAAACCAATGCATATGGTAGAAATATATTTAATAACAATTCTTAAGTAGTAAGTTCATTTATTAGATTTATAATTAACTATTGTTACACTTACAATGCAACAATCAGCTTTTCAGTTCTCTCTTTCAAAGTTAGCGTTATACCTGTTTTTTTTAAAAAAAAAAAAAAAAATTATAACTCTAATAGCATCTGGAGGAGAAACTTTTTAAATAGTAATTGATAGAGGCTTTGGAAAGCTCAAGTATTGATAAAATTAGAGTCTTTTCGAACCACAATGAAAGGAGACTGAAGAACACTGATAATTCAATACTTAGAGCATGGAACTCTATTATCTGAGCCAAAGAAAGCTTCGAAGTTAACAGAGGACAGAGCTAAAAAAAAAACTGTAGTGGCAAGTTGTTGATGGCAAGCAAGGATAGGGGTAAGTAGAGGTGAGCATTTGCCTTATCTGAATTGATTTAAACTGAATTGAACTATCTCAGTTTGGTATAATTGAATATTTTTTTTTATGATAATCGAATAACACAAAAACCAAACAAAATTAAATCAAATTAGTTTAATTCAATTATTTTGAACAAAATCAATTACATTAAGCATAAAAATAAATTCGATTAATTATATATAGGAATTAAAAATTGAATGGTTTCTCTCACTAAATAAATCAGCAACTAAATTCCTAAAATTTTTACAGAATTAAATAAAAAATAATCTAATCAATTTAATTTAATTTTCAGTTAGAAACGATTATCGCTCACCCCTAGACGAAGGGAGAGGTTAGGAGGCTATGTCCCGCTAGCCCTAAAAAATTTTCTGTATACTCATTGATTTGTCCTTTCTACAAAATAAAAACAATTATGTACAATTTATTATCAAGGAGAGAGTAGAGAGTCCCTTCAGAAAAAAAGAGAGGTATTTGCCTTTCTGCCTTATCATTGTCCAAACAAAGTGTTAGATTTTGACTTCCAACTAAATAAGCATTTTAATGTATATATATAATAATTGAGATGTCATTGTCTTTTATATCACAAAAATAATATACATTTTGGAGTATAATATGTATATTCCATGTCAATTATTGCAGGAAAACTTTAGAATTCCTAGATGCTAAATCTATGAACTAAGGATGGATTTTAAATTCTAATTCTAATGATCCACTTGCAAACATAGGCACAAATTGGAATCCTAGTTGGATGCATTATGATTGTACATATCACATATAGAGAGACTATAATTTCTAAACTCAGAAAACAAAAATCATTAAAACTGTCAAATACATTGCATCAACTAGTACACATTTTGGCCGATTAGGTGTGTAACACCCACTGTCCAGTCCCGAGAGATCAACAGCAGATGCCACATTCGGTGCTGCAGACACCGTCTTAACTTAACATCCGTCGTCAGGTCTCACGGGACTGGCGGAAGGTGTTACAAGGTGGTAGTCTAGTTATTCTTCTCACTTATGTGAGGAGTGAAAGACCTCTCGATCACAAGTCTTTTCACCAATTTGATAAGGCAAAGGGAGGGCTACCCCCTATTATGTAGCCTGCAGTATTATTTCGACCAATAAAACCCTCTAATGAATTAAAAAAAAAAAAACTAATACACATTTTGCTTCGCTTCTAAATTTTTGTAATATATAACAATTATCATCGTCATCATCATCAATTTTAGGTCAATCATGTCAGAGATTTTATTTAAAAAAATCAAAATTAGGTTTTGAATCTGAAATGTGCCAAGCATGCTATTTGCTAAAACTTATTGATATGCACTAATGTTTATTACTTCAATCAATCATCGTATTTTATTTGTCAAAACTTACATTATATTTATGTACGATGTTGGTTGAAGATTTTAGAAGAAAATGAGATATAGATGTTAGACTAAAAACAAAAAGTGGGAATGAGGATATTGCCATTGATAAAAAATAACGCCTTTAAATTTGTGCATTAATAAAATATTTTAAGAATCTTAATTCTAGTGGTCAAAAAAATAAAAATAATTTGATTTGATTGGTTATATTAGTTTACTATTTAAATTAAATTATGTTAATTAAAAAATGTAATAAGAAAATTATTAAAATAAAATAACAAATCTTAAATAAAATAAAAATTATAAAATAAAATAAAAAATCTTTGATAGTGTATAAAATGATTATAGAATTTAAAATGTTTTTCAATTACTACGTTATTTAAAAAAAAAAAAATCTTTCTGTAGATTTGCAAGGAGTACATTACTAAATATTTAACTCCTAATATGACAAGTAATTCACCCTTTTAAATATTATTGTCCCTATCATATTTCTAAACTTGGATTTTCATACATACTTTATGTTCTATGTTGAAGTTTTGGCACATCTTAGGAATTATAAACCTATTGACAGGCTTTTTTGCAACTGCAAGAGATCACAAATAAGTAATAAAGAGTGAATAGAGTATCGTTCCCACGAAAATTTTATATCAAGTACTAAAATTGTGTTAATCTAATATTATTTAAATGACAATAAGGAGAATTGTCTTAAGAAATCAAGCAAGACAATTTGATGAAAAGAAATTAAGGATTAAAAGTTACTAGGGATTTTGACTTCACTTAATTCTATCCAATTTATTCTATTAGTTGATAATCAATTTTAATTATTCAAGTAGAGGAAACAACCCTAAAATCACTAACAAACTCTCCCGATGTATTATTAGCTATTTTAACCTTGTCTAATTACCTATCTTCCAATAGCACAAGCAAACATGAATTAAATCATTAAGTTTATGGTTTGTTTTGTGAATTCATAACCTAAGGTTGTTAACTTATGAAAACCCCCTATGAGTCAAACCATACAGCTTCTGCATCAAGTTATTATTCTCATGTAATTTATTACCTTTTTCATATCAAAAACCCTTCTCCCGATAGTGATTAATTAAATAAATCAATGAAGTATTAAGTTCAATAATAAATTATACTTTGAACAAAGAAAAATAAATCTAATATTATAAAATCTAATGGAGAAGAAACCTCTGCCTGGAAGTGTATTAAGTTCAATAAATAAATTATACTTTGAACAAAAGAAAATAAATCTAATATTATAAATTGGAAATAGAAATTTAAGTTACATCAATCTCTAAGTAATGAGAAGTTTAGTTTCGACATAATAATTAATAAAATTCAATTAAAACTTGTTATAATAATTAAATAAAATTCAATTAAACTTGTAAATAATCCCATAAAGAATAATAAATAAAAAGAGAGTTTAGAAATAAAAACTAGTCAACGATGGATTTGAGCTACTTCCTTGAATCGTGACACCAATCTTGAGTACATAAAGTCTTAAAGAGAAAATTATGTAGAAAATAATAGAACAAGAGATAGAATATACAATAAATGGATTCGACACCTGATCATGGTTAGTCTCTCTCTTTATATAGACTTTCTGGAATATCTTCGTGTTCATTTAGGAAAATGAATCTCTATTGCGTAAGAAATCTTTTGGAGATAGAAAATTGATTAGGCTTTGTATTTCTTCCCAATTAGGACTCTCCCAGCGTTTAAATTGGATTTATATTTGATTGGCACGTCAGAAAAGCATTTTTTGGGGGTCCATGCAAGCGGTACGGGCTAGAACTGAAGTTCTCAGCCCAATGCAAAATCTGGTCTTTAGCACGGGCGTACTATCTGGCATGACTGGAGCGTGCTAGACTCTGAGTCTTCAACGTAGTTGCTGCACGAGCTATGCTTGGATGAGTAGGCTCAGAGATCGATAGCCTCGTGTAGCACGGGCGTTCTCTTTGGCACGGCTTGGGCGTGCTAGACTCTGAACCTCTGTTGAATTTATCTTGAACACAGCATAGGGGTGCTGGATAACACGCCCAGAGCGTGCCAGCCTTTTTGCTTAGGTACACTCTTTTCTGTATTTTTGATTGGTTTTCTATAAAAATGCTACAAAATTCTCTAAGATTAAGTGAAATGTGATTCAAGAAAACTTTAAACAAAAATATAAATAAAACTAAATAAAAACTAATTGAAATAAATAAAAATCCTAACAAAAACTATATTAAAAATACTATAAAAATAACATCTATCACCTATTAACAAGTTTTATTATTTCTTAATTAAGAATTATTCTATTGTCGAAACTGTGTTCTATTTTTTAATTAGAAATTATAACTCTATTGAAAAAGTTCAAATCTTAATTAATTAGAAATTATACATTGTATATCACCATTATACTTACGCAAGTTTTATTGACTTTCTTTGTTAAGGGTTTATTTATTTTAGTTATCAACAATTTTGTAATCAAAGATAAATCCAACTTATCACTCGACTTATTATTGTTGATCTATTACGTATTATTTTTTATTTTTATTAATTTTAATTCAATATAAATATTATTCTATGTTGTCAATATTATAATTTATTATTCTGTGGTTGGGTTTTATTGAGATAGTCTGTTGGCTTGGGAATAGATTGATTCATCTCCCTTTTCCTTTTTTCTATTTTAGTATAAAAACTGCTTCTTTTTAGCTGATAAAAGACAATGGTATTTGTTATCAATTATAACAAAATTTCCAAATTTTGTAAACCTTACTTTATGTCTATGCATAAACTATTTATAATTTTAAGTCTAATCATTGTTTCATATATTTTAATTTTAACTTGTGATCACTCATGGTTTAACTTTATTTTTAAGTG